TGTTGAGTTCTTGCTCATCCCGTTTGATTTGGCAGTTTTTGTCTGGATTTTTTATTATCTTGAAAAATTGTCCATTCTATTCACCATCCAGCCAGTTCTTCGTATATCCACTTCATGAAGATAATGATGATGGAGAAAGTCTGTTTTTTTTTGTCTGCGTAGAGGGAGAGATGGAGAGAAACTACAGTTATTGCGTATCGATTGAGTGGGAGAAATTCACAATTCTTTCTTTCTTTGTACTTTCCTATGTTGCTTTCACTCCGGGTTTGTCTTGTGGTGGTTGGTGGTGGTGGTCCTGTGTTCTTTGGTATGTTGTACAGCATCAGAATCCGTTTAGAAATTCCCTTTTACCAACATACATCCACTGCACGTTAGTCGTTCGTTGTACAATTCTCAAATAGAAACTCTCTCCATCTACTTGTTTTCGTGCATTTGCTGATCGTGCAGCACGAATCTTAGACAAGACACAGATTGCTCTTTTACACTACATTGAACATTGGCGATGTTGCTGGCGAAATTGTTGCGAGGAGTCCACTACTATTTACTCCTGCGTGTAGAGCAATTCCAATCATCATGCTCTCAAGTTTGTGTAATAATAATGATTCTTCCTTTTACAAGAGCATGGGGGAAATTCTGCAGAGGAATTGTACTACGTACGTATATATCCTCGAAAAGGTGGAGAAATGGAGAGAGAAAAAAATGTATGTCACCACCACCACTTTTTCCCTTCTTCTCTTTTGGATGGATGGATTGGTGGCGCAATCCAACCATAACAAATTATTATCCCATCCTTCCGACTTTATTGCCATGTCCTTGTCTCGATATTTAGCCGTCCGTACGTATCTCTCTTTCCTATTCACATAAAAATTGTCTCTACTCGTAAATCAGGAGTAGACGCAACATATTTAATATTAAGGTCGTGCCGTTGGACTGGATAACATAATTCCTGACCTAAGAGGATGACTTACGCAGTAATATACAAATCTACTTATTTAGCAATATACATCAAAACTTGGCCCATATAGTGAAAGTCTGTTCCTACAAAGCACGTCTCCTTTTTCCCTCATGGATTTGGATGATTCGATTGTTCAGGATTTGTTTGCATTCACTTTCCCCTTACTCACTTACTTTCTCTCTAGGAAAAGAGTTCTCTGAGTAAATGGGGGAAAAAAGTTGATGATGATGATGATGAAAAACGCTTCACTGCTGCTGCTGTTGCCCTATTATTTGAGAAAGTTGGATTTTCGGAACCAACCACTTTTCCAATTACTAAAAGTCCTTCCTTATTATGAAAACAGAAATTGCCTTGGGGGGCTCTTTGTTCAGAATCATGCTCTTGTGGTTCGTCCTCTGTTCTGTTTCCTCAGAAAACACGGACTGCCTGAACCTCTCCAAAACTTGGAGATAATTCCCTTCCTTCCACTGTGCACGGATGATGATTGAGTCCCCACCAACCAAGATAAAAGCGAGGATGTGATTTTGATATTGTGCAATCACATGATCCCATCAGGGTTTGGTTTAGAGCTTAGTTGGATTATTAATTGACTTTCCCTCTGCTCACCAGTCACTATTTCCCAGCTAATCCCTCACTGGAATCAAATTGTGGGTTGGGTATCATTAGCATTAATTGTCGTCCTGCCTGGACTTTCACTCCGCTTTCTCCCCTGGCTGAAATTCGATCCAATTATTAATAAATTTTATTAAAGGGTTATTACACAGAGGGAGAAGTAAGGTAGATGGAAATTGAACTGAGCGAATTTCATTACACGGGTTGACTTACTTCCAATCAGACTGCGGCTTCTGGAGCAGGATGAATGTCAAGTTCTCCGCATGCAAATTCATCATCAGTCAGTATCGCTAGTTGGGTGGTGGTGGTGGTGGGTTTGCCGGGCAAATTGCTATACTGGGTCGAGCTTATGTACATATGTGCTGAAATAGAACCTTGCAGGACTGCGACTTTCTCCAGATTCCAGCCTTTCTCAAAAGCGCATGCAATTTGTCAATCGTGATATCGAGATTATTTATAAACCGGACGAACCATTTTATTTGCATACGTATAATTTATTTACAAAAGGCTCATCACACAGCGTACTTTTCTTGCACAGCTGGAACTACAATTTAGAGGAAAAGGAGTCGTGGTGCCCAATCCAATCACAAGTCTTGTGCTCTCCTTTATTTTAGTAAAACTTTGCTTTACGTAACAAAGTTTTGCGTGAGACAATTTTGCTGCTAAATGGACCCTGAACAACCCATCAGGCCGAGTTTTGTGAGACATTTCTCTCCTCACGGCCTCGTCTCTCAATAGCTCTTTGAATAGTAAGACAACGACTTTCTCCCCCATCACAGACTTCGTTTCCAGACCAGACCAGCTATTAGTGACAGAGTAATAATGTGATATGGCTTTCATTCCTCCTCGTTAGTGGTTCTCCATTTATGGCGATATCACGTTCTCGGGATGGGCAGGGTTTCAGTAAAAAAAGAAGAATGGTGATGATGTAATATTCCTGTCTGCAATCAGAAATTGTATGTAACGTCAACATACAAATATGTACCTTCCTGATGTCATATTACGGAGAGTTTGGTGGATAAAACCCCATCCGATTTCCACTCAAAATCAGCTTATGACAAGTCTTGTAAATATTTGAGAACTCGTAAAGACCACTTTCCACCAACTTTCTTCTACACTCTTTTTTTCGAGACGACTCGACTTAGGCGACGAGGAGATAAAGCAGCAGTAGGAGAATTAGTGAAGGAATTGAGTAGAGTTGGTTGGTCAGTAAATATATCAAAGATTTAAACCTTTTTTAAGTAGGGAAGGGATTACTGCGAGGAGAGAGATCTTTTATGAGGTGCAGCATCTTCGTGGACTCCTTTTTTAGTAGGAGAAAGTAAATCAAATGTTGCTCAATAGACAAATAATCCCGAGATGAATTTGTGTTTTGAAGACAGGCTGAGATCCTTATTTCCCTTCCGGTGATAAAATATGAGTGAAATTTCATTTCCATGTTTAGAGAAGGGACGACGGATGTGATGGAAATGCAAGTCTTTTATCTCGCATGAAAATAAATTAGCAAGTTTAAAGGTTCTCACTTTTACACGAAAGATGAGATTCTTCTTGTCGCAATATTACTTTGAAAAGTACGACGAATTTTGCAATATTGTAGACACTGGAAAGAAATAATTTACGAAATGTGTCGTAATAATGATGGCACGACAGGAGGATTACTAAAAACAGGTGAAAGCTTTTCTGAAAGCAATCTCTTTATAGTAAATTTCATGTTAAATTATTCACATGTCAACCGGAAGATAGTGAAATTGACGTGGAAAGAATAAAGAGAAAAGAGTAGTCAAAATTCGTATAAAACGACACTTTGGATTAATCACTTAGAAACTGTAAGGTTAACTTGCCATGAATTTACTTTCTTCCCTCCTCCTCCTATTCACCCACCAAATGGCTCATGATCTTTGTGGCCTATTTCGTAGATACACACAGAGCATAATTTTCTCGTTGATTCTATTACCAGAATTTCCTACTCAACGATAAAGTGAAATCGTTATGCAAATATACAAAAGTCGTCATTGAGCTGCTCGATTTTATTCGTATCTTACGTGAACAGTGAAAATAGTGCATTTTTTACGACAATGGTGTAAACTGACTCACACTGTGTCATGAATTTAATGATTTTCCCTATAAAAAATCAACCATTTTAATGGAATTTTCATGTTGGAATAACTGCATTGCACTTTTTTTACAAAATTTATATTTTACTCCCTGATAAACAATTTACCTAACTTTCCCCCTCGCAACCGAGTACACAATAATAAATGGAATGAGCTTTCCATGTTCGTCTTGAGAGAGAGAGAGAAATTGTTGCGGTTTCTACATCAGTTTTAGTTTTAGTGCACAAAACGGTGTTTTGTGGTTTGGCCATTTCTACCCAAACTATGAAACAATATTAAGCGGCGTGTGTATCCCATCAAACTTTTTATAACGAGGGAAAGAGCCGAGTAGAACACACCTGTCTCACTATTCCCCTCTCGTACGTGTATGCAGTTGGAGTGGAGAAAGTGCGAGTATGGAGATCACTAAAGCCGTCAAAGTTGGATAAGACTCATAAGCAGGAAAGTTTAGAGGGCTCAAGCCTCCTTGTGCAATACCTGTCACAATATATCAAAAAGTCGTCCCCTCCGAGAGTTGAACTACTTTGAGAAATTGAAACCTTCTCCATCTCCAAACATCTGCTGATATTTTGAATCGACCATGAAAACCCACAAGGATCCACCGTGGTTTCGTTTCGTGATCCTTTCATCAATATAACTGTTCCCCTTATTACTTGATGATGCAAGATTGTCACGTCTCTGAGACTTTCACTCTGTCAACCTTTTTGCTTTTTGGCCTTGGATTTTGCTTTCACTTTGATAATCTCTCAAGAGAAGGGGAGAAATCTAGGGGTATTAATATTATTGCGGGATACGATCCTCGGTTCACTTGACATTGCACAATACGACTTATCTCGAACGAGGTGCACTTTCAATGATTAATTTTATAAGAGAAAGTGCAGTATTTAGCTTTTTATTTATTTTCGTGTTAAATAAATGGGGAAAGTAGGCTAATAATGGTCGATTCGGAATATCGAAAATACATTTATTTCTTTTTCGCTGAGTTATCTCGAAATGATTTTTGCCCTACTTTCTCCCCCCACTTCTGTCGGCTAACTATACGTCTCTCTCTGTGTGAAAGTAGGTGAAAGTAGTGCAGACATTTTCTACATGTCTGAGAGATTTATGGTTTGGGAGTTTCCCTTACTTGAGAGATAGATGACCCGTGGAGTGAGGTAACCTCGGAGAAATAGAACGGGAAATATATTCATACGATTTTTTATTGTGGAGAAAAGTGCATATGATTTCTGTCTGTCTGTCAATTTGGCGAAAATAATATAAAAAACCAACATTGTGAATAACAATTGAAAATAAAAATAAATGTTTAATTTTTCCCACAGATTGGGCCGCGCTGGTGTTGACATAAATTGCAAGCATGATGGCGACTGTTGCGCAATCCTTCACTTGCAGTTCGTCGTCAACGAGGGGCTAATCATCTCCGCTACGTCCGATGACACAATTCACTTATGGAATTTCAGAGAGACTAAAAAACCCGAAGTTGTTCAATCGCTCAAGTTCCAGAGGGAAAGGTAACAAAGTTTTTTGTTTATCTTCACACTTTTAGTCGTCTCGCCACTACGCAAATTTAGCAAAATATAAACTTTTCAACGCTGACGTTATGCAACTTTAGTAGTAACTTGTGTGCTTTTAGTAAGAAAATATGTCATCATTTAACCCAAAATTTAGTCTTATGTCTTGATATGAAAAAATTTTAGCATTTCATTCCTCCACCTCGAAGAAAGACTTTCTTTTTTATTTATTTGTTCTCTCCTAAAATCCAGACTGCTACTTAGGTAGCTTGGAAAGAGAAAGAAAAAATAGTAATTTCCTAAATTGTCCTTCTCTCGGTCTGTCATGTCGTTCCCAGTTTTCATTGCTTTGATTTCCATTTCATTTCAGAAACAAAAGTGCATACAAACATGAGAGCGAGGGCAAGAACCAAAATTGCAAATGAGATCATAAAATGACAACGAACTACTCGTGTTTTATTGCACATTCTGCTCGTAAGTAAATGCACATTTCGACAGTGCAGCAGTCTCTTGTCCCCAGAGCATACACAAAATTAAATATACGATAGGAACAAAGTCTCCATTGAATTTGACGGCTTGCATTTTCAACAACGTTATTGGAACAATTAACTTTTCAGGTCTGTCAATCAAGTTCAGTTTATCATCGTACAAACTTTCATAACAACAAAACGGGTATGACAGCCAGCAGAAGTGTTGCTCGTATTTACAATTTATATGGAAAAGCTGTTGAAATTATATAGTTGGAATAATCCATTTTATATTGGACATCATCCATCTCGTAGATCAGATTATTCCAGGTCTGCATCTCGTGGTGAAAGTATTTGACGTTTATGGGGAGAGTGAAAGTCACTCTGTTGGTCGGAAGGTTGGCCGAGCTGTCAGATTAAGGGGTCGAAATTGTATTTTAGATGAAACATGGGACATTACTGTTCTCATTACTCGAAGCCACCACCCAAATTGTAATTTATTATTAGTCCGACCAGAAGAATCTCTCCCACTACTTTCTCTCCACGGCAGGGCGACGACGACAAGAAAATCATCTCTGCTCTGTATTTAATACACTTTTTTGTGTAACTTGCTACATCACAGAGAATCCATCTCATATCATTATCCCCCCAAATTGACAGAATTAATTGTGAATGAAGAGTGACATCGCGTCTCCAAAGCTGAAAAATAATCGGATTATATTTATCGATAATCCACTTTCTGTATGGCTTTCTCTTTTCACAGGATCACCAGCCTGAGCCTTCCACTCCAAAGTAAATGGATTTATGTGGGCACGGAACGAGGAAATGTGCATGTGGTCAACATTGACACGTTTCAACTGTCCGGATACATCGTCAACTGGAATAAAGCGATCGAAGTGTAAGTTTTTTCTCTCTATTTTTTTATTTATTTTATTTTTTTGGGGCCGTTGTCCATTTCGCGTAAGAGAGAAAGTCCACTTTTACTCTGGGTGTGGAAAAGTGATGGTGTTTTTATTGACAATTCACCCATTTTGTGAAGAATGGGATTCTGCTTTCACTTTTATGACTACACATCGCACTATCTCGAATATAGTAAAGTTTGCATTTGTAGTAATAAAACCCACAAGGAACAACTAAATCAACGAACCGCGTCATCCCTCTGACTCGTTATTCCAAAACCAAACGTTTACTATTATTGCCCACAAGAACCACATCATCACTCAACGAGTTTAAGGAAATATTTAAATCGCTGTAAACTCGCCCTTTGTGAAATTGCCATGCAAAATGCATAAGGAGGAAAAGTTGTAAAAGACCAAACTGCAAATGAAACTCGTTATTCGCAACACATTTCGCACAAAATGGGGAATTGCTACACGAGCCGGTCCTATTGTGACAAACGATGTAGGAGAAATCGAGTCCACGACAGATGGAAAGCAAATAATAAAACGTTTTTAATTTGCTTTCTCCAGTTTATCCTTGAATTACATAAAAATTCCTAACCAATAAAAAATAGGGTTTACTTTCTCTCCTTTTAACAAAATAACCTTTAAAAAAGTAGCCACTCGTATTCTTCTACCCTTTTAAAGCGATTTTCTCATTTCTCTTCCAGAAATTAAATTTTACAGCTATGTAACAAAAAAGGCTAAAAATAGGGAACAAAATTAGGAGAAAAAAACTTTTTATATTTATTATCTTTTTTTTTAAAGAGAACAAACTTTTGAAACAGATTGAAATTTGAGATTAAATAAGAACAATAGGATACTGCTGAACCATTAAAGTCCGCTACCACTCACCCACTTTGATCTGCGTCTTCTTCTTCTCTTTTATCTGGTAAAAGTTTTATTTACGTATAAGAGTTAAAAGTGTGAGCTGTGAAATTGTGATTCGCCAGAGTGATTTTGGGTGATGGATGACTGCAGCTTAAAAACAGGGTGAGCCCTTGAGCTCTTTAAAAAGAGAAAAGTTTCGCCAGTTAGTTGCATATAGGAGACTCGATAATAAAATAAAATAATAGGAATATAACGTCTCGTCTCCAATCTCTCTGTGTGCGATGAGACACTCCGTAGGTGAACTTTTTAACGGGAAAACGTGGCGAGGAGAGAGATTTATTGACTTTAAGGGGATTTATTAAGGTGGCTGAAAAAACGTGCTGAAACCACTAAATGAAATTCTTTGACGATCACACACCTTTCACCTCCTCTTCTTTTCTGGGGAGGGAGTAGGGGTGAGAGAAAAGTCAACAGAATCACACACGGTATGTGTCGACCTTGGTTGGTCGAGATGTGATTGACTTTTCGAGGTCAGGCAGTAATGGTTTTATCTTCTTGGTGGTAAAAGTGTCGGGTCACGTTATTGTGTTTTTTAGGGGGTTATTTTGTTACTTGATGGATGTGTTTTTTGGGAAATTTGACACCTTATTTTTAAAGGAAAGGATGTTTAAGATTTTTTTTTAAATTGGCTTCGTGTTTTTCATTAACTTGTATTGTTCTAATGGAAAACTCTTTCTTTTCAGATGTCGAAAAACTCATCCCGGCAGTGTCATCTTTCTCGGAGACAATCCAACCGATTCCACTAAGGTGAGTTATACACTTTTCCCCAGTGATGCGTAATAATATGCCCTCATCAACAAAAGGAGGAGGAGAGAAAATACAAAACTGGTATCTTTCTCTAACCGGAAATTAATCCCAACTTGTTGAATATGTTCTCTTCATCCAGCAAATAAGTAATGGCAAACTATATTATTATGCAGTCAGTGTCAAGTCCTTGCTCTTTTTAACTAAGCCATCCGCAATAAATCATAACGTAGAAATTACGCCGTGATGATACCTGTTATCGCATACAAATTTCCCCCCCAGAAAAGTCATATCACTTGCTTTGCGTCGTCACGTATCCATTTACGACAATAAATTTCGCCCTAATTCTACTATAATTCTACTATCATTTTTCCTCCTCTAGCTCCTGATAGGATTTGATTCTGGGCAATTGGTCCTTTGGGATTTGAAACTGAAAGTGGCTGAAATTCGTTACCAATCTCAAGAACCCTTGAGATCTGTAAGTCCAACAACAAAATAAATGCAATATTTGCACTATTTTACGATGAAAGAGTATCTATCACGTGTTCTCCTCTCTCCTCGTTCGCAGGTATCTTGGCACAGTGATGGGAAGCAGTTTATGACGAGTCATTCCGATGGCTCAATTGCCACTTGGAATCTAAAAGTCCCTAATAAGCCCGTCGCCGTTACATTCCCGCACTGTGAGTCCTCTCTCATTAAAGATTTAATGAAAAACTTATGCGAAAATCTCCACTTTACCGTGTTCCACTTGAGCCTTAAAGTCCACTTGTACATGTGTGCATACTACTTTTACCTCCTGCTGATGCTACTATTTCCATATTTCAATGCTTTTCTACTTCGTAGTAACTTTCTCCTGGAAAACGAACCTTTTCCAAACTTTGTATAAATCGATTATTTCTGTTTAATACTTGAGCTCGCTCGCTTCTCCCTGAAACTGAAGTGTGGAAAGTGGAAAGAGTAATTAGAATTTAAAACTGAGGTTAGACTTTTTCCAACCTAACCAAAAACTATTACGTACGACGATCTACGTTTTCATTGAGAATGGAATGTTGGGAAATTCCACGCAGTTTAATGAGTGTGTTGGTTGGTTCTTAAAATTTTGCGATTTTATTTCACAGCACGAAACATGAAAGATGGGAGACCAGGTAGGAAATTGTTGCTTTTTGTAATACTTTTAAGTGGACTTGGTAAGAGAAAGTATTTCATTAATTTTTCGATTCTTCTTCACAGAACCATGCAAATCCATCCAGAAAGTGGAATGGAAGTCATCAAGGACTGGGTGAGTTTAAATATGCTGAAAGTTTTGCGATGTGAAAATGTGCGGAATTTTAAACCATAGTTTTTGATTAAGGATAAGAGAAAGTTGGTTATGGAGAAAGTGCGTCATAGTCGCGTAGTAGATATGGACTGCGCTCTTTCTAGTCTAGTCTAGTCGTCGTCGCGGTGGTGGTGGTGGTGGCCTAATTAATCTCACAGTTTTTGTTTCTAATGCAATCTGCGATAGAAGAGTGAACAGCGTGGTTTCTCTGCTCCTGCTTTCACCAAAATTGAAAGTGACGACTGTTCTATAGTTTATTTCCCATCTCCAAGATTAATTTTTCATGTTTAGATTTGCATGCAATGTGACGGGGAAGAAGACGGTGGATTCTATGCAGAAATCGATTAGTATACATTAACAATTTTTCACACCTTGTTTTTCTGCATGGATGCCCCGCTGGGGGAATAATTGCCCTACCATTTTACAAACATTGAGATCAATGTACACAATCTCAATTTGAGACATGTCGTGTTACAACACACAGGAGCAAAAAGTGTGAAAAATCGATCCATGGATATAAACTGGTGAAAGTACTCCTCTCCACTTTCTCTCTCCTATCTACTCCGACATACTTGTAGTGAAAGTATGTGGGTGAAAGTCTCGTATTTTGGCCACTTGCCAAGAATTCTCTTATGTTCTTCTTCCACCATTTTATACATTTTACCCCATTTTCACTCTCTGACTCTTTCTCGCTTTCTCTCCCTCTGTTTCTGTGTAGGGAGAACTTTGTGATATTCTCTGGAGGGTTAACGGCAGACCGGGCTGGGAAAACTCCCTCGTTGACTGTGATTCATGGAAAGACGACGACCGTGCTGGAGATGGAACACAATGTACTCGATTTCGTATCAATTTGCGAAAATCAGTGGGAGTCAGGTCAGTTATGATGTCGTCATATTTTAGACATGAGGAGGAGGAGGATGTCGTGGAATGCGTGGTGTGGGTGGAAAAAATCATAACTTTAAGACATGACACGCATCTAAATCTGAATCTGAATCCGTATTCGTTATTGAGCAGTTGAGAGAAAAATTGGGAGAATAAAACTCGTTATGTAATGGATGGTTGATAACTTGTTTTCAGAAATCCAAGACCCGTACGCCGTTGTGGTCCTATTGCAGCAAGAGTAATAAAATTTTGTTACATGTCAACGTCATAATTTAGTTTTTTGATGATTATAAGTATTTAAGTTAAGTGTTGGCTTTCTCTTTTTGCAGCTTGGTCGTAATTGATCTGCTCACTCCTGGCTATCCTTGCATCCCAAACCCTTATCCAATGGATATCCACGGTAATTCATAGACTAGGATTTTTCTAGGCCGATTTTTGACTATATTTTCCTATCACAGAATCTCCCGTGACCTGCTGCACATACATGGCCGACTGTCCTGGTGACTTAATCCCTGCCCTGTACTCAATGGGATCCAAGGGACAGAAGAAGACGGGATTTAGTGAAAGAGATTGGCCCATCGAGGGGGGGCAGGTAAGAAAAAGTACTTTGTAACAAGATCAAGAGATTTTTTGGGCTAAACTTTCTCCTGTAATTTCTTCCAGTGGGGAACCTCAAGCTGTTCATACGCCGAGATTATAATAACAGGCCATGCGGATGGCGGAGTGAAATTTTGGGATGCTTCATCAACAAGTCTCCAATTTTTGTACAAAATTAAAACTTCTAAACCTTTCGAACGCCCAAAATCAAGAAAATCTACGGAATCTTGCGCTTCTGATGATGATCCTTTCGCCGTTCAGTACATGGCTTTGTGCCCGGAATCGAGATTACTTGCCGTTGCGGGAGGTAATGTTTTAAAGCTTTTTTTAAAAAAATATACCGAAAAATATAAATTTCACTAACTAAATATCTTATTTCCCTCCAGCCTCCTGTCAAGTTCTAGTCTATAAATACCGTAAACAAGAAGTCGTCACTGAAACGGCAGTCTTGGAGATTCCAATAATTTGGGACATTGACGATGGAAGCGATTATCTAGCGAATGCAGGAAATTTCGATTTTTCCAAAGTTGGCGATGCGAAACCCAATCTTGAATATTTTGTCCCCATCCGTATCAAACTTGGACCACAAAAGAAGGCTCCCGGATATCAGGCGGAGATTGTCTGCTTAACCCCGTGGGTCAATGGGGAACCACCAGGAGGGATTTCATCACTCGCACTCAATTCTAATTATGGAATGTGAGTTATCACAAATTTATCCACAATTGGCAGTAAAATAAACATTTAAAACAAAACCTTGCAGACTCGCCTACGGAAACGATGCCGGGCTCGTTATAGTCGACACGGTTCAAAAAACGTGTCTGATGAGTGTAGCTACTCCCGATCTTTACGGTATCCTTCTGCTTTCTCCCTCTTTACTTACGTTAAATATACAAATTAATAACCTCCGCAGGAACATCGGATCCATATCAACGCGCTCCCAAGTCACCCAAACGACCCGACATTTCTGAAGAACGCTCCCCCACTGATCAGGTATGTTCGTGCACGTCGGGTTGTATTCGGCTGGAAGATTATTCGATTCTATTTATTATATTATTTATTTCTTAAACAATTTTATAAATTATTAGAGGCATTTGGCTCCCAGAGAAAATTTTCTAATTTTGCATAAAATATCACCAAAAAAATGCGTCTCCCAAAAAATATTTCTCAATTTTTGCCTTCACTAACTGACCGCGTATCTCAGGTTTCCGACTTAGCTAGCACGAAAAGTATGGAGATGGAAACTCCCTCCACGCAAAAAACACCTTCGACCACCGTTCCTGACTCTACCTCAACCTCTGACGTCGAATTATTCCCTACAAATCATCGTCAATCCTTATCCGGCTCGATGAGTAAACTTCCCTCGGCGGCGGAATCGGCCACATTGGACGTTGAACTCCAACCTAATCTCAAATGTAGGAGTACCACACCGCCCGCGACGATGAAATCCGCTCGATCCCGATCCCACACTTGGTCCCAAGTCAAAGGCCTCATTATAAAAAATGTTCGAGAGAGTAAAAAGTCTGCTAAATCGACAAACAAACAAACCACCAGTCCCGACACCACCACGCCAATCAACCAACCAGTCAATAATGATACTGATGCTCAACAAGAATCCTCCTCGTTAGTATCGCCATCTTTATCAGGGTCATCTTCTTCCTCTTCCTCCCCTTCGTTGTCCGGTCGTCCTACCACCCTCGATTTAGAACAGTCCTCCCCTCCCGTCCCTCCCCCTCGGTCGCATCACCATCACCACAAAAAGAAAAAGAAATCGTCCCTCTTCAACGCGATCAATTCCACTTCCGGTGGTGGTGCCGCTAAAAAGAAATGTGTCGACCTTCGCTCATCTTCCGCGGGCGCGGGCGGTGGTTCCGGCGGAGCTGGAGGCGCAGGGGGCGGATCACGATGGATGAAAAAATTCCGTAAGATTTTATACACCCAAAGTGTCGGCACACACAAACGAAAAAACAAAAAAAGCGCATACTAACTTTTCTAGTGGAGCCAATTGCCATGTGTTGACTTTTTTGACTGGGTAGCATTTTAATGTATTTTAGTCTTTTTATTATTATTCTTCTTCTTAGTGCAATATATTTATGTTTATGTCGTCTCGTATTCTTACCGTCGTGGTCGTGAGTGTGTACTGAACGTAGAAGATATTTCCATTAATTAATTAGATGGATGGCGTTTGCTTGTCTCCCACTGCGGGAGGAGGTGGTGGGTCACCCTACTGCGGGGGCTCGAGAATGTCCGTGTCGGGGGCGAGTGGAGGCTGTGAGCGGAAGGACACGTCGCCAAGGAAGAGCGGTGGGGCCGCGGTCGAGGCTGTGAGACGTAGCAAGTCTCAAGGTAGTCGGAGAGCGGAGTGGAAAATTAAGCAAAGTTACAGCATGGCAGTGGCAGGGCAAGGCGGAAGTCCAGAGGCCACAAATACTAACACCACACCCACTGCTACCCATCCTTCCTCCTTCCCTACCAGCCCCAACCCTTCCTCCTCACTCTCACAACTGCCCACTTCCGGTCCTCCCACTCCTCCCACAAACAAGTCACACCTCCTCGTCCTCTCAAGGCAAGTGATGATGAAAAATGGAGAGGAGAAAGTTGAAGTGTGGTGGAGATTCATTTTTAATAACTTACTCGAGTCTTAATGATGTTTATGACACGTGACAACTTTCTCCACTTGACGACTTCCAAAAACTATTTATATAAATTGTCAAGAGTTGGAATCTCATTAAAATCTGATTTTCTTTTCTACTTTTTTAATGACCCCCTTTTGACGTCATTATAAAACAACAATTAGAGTTTTATACTTGTCCTATTTTTAACTTTCTCCCAACCACTTTCAACACGAAAAAAAGGTCCATTTTTTCATCATCACAATCTTTCTCTTTGTCACTTCTTTTCCAGGCAGTACTACAGCTTCGGTAGTAATGTCACTTCCAACTACCAACCAACTTCCTCCTCGAACGCTGCAGGTGCGTCTGGTACATGAAACAATGGCAGCCATTAATATTTCAAATAATAATAATATTACTAAAATTAGTCTTTCTCTCTCTCTCTCTCTCTTGTCCCGTAATTAATCAATCACCACACCCACCAAACATACCAATACTCTCATTGTTGTACCACCCACCCACCAAAAACCACACCAACCACACCCCCCCATACCAAAGTATATAGTTTCAAAAAAAGAGGTGTATCAAATGTTAGGCTGGCTTTTTTCTCCCGTTTTTTCTTCTAAGAAATAATTCAAAAATTTTATCTCACTCATTTAATCGCATGCTCAATTATGAAATTATAAAACTTGATTTTCTCCCCTCGTTAAAATTTCGTTAAATACTTGGATTAAAACTGCATGTCAATTTTTTCAAAAATTTTATGTCCAACATTTGATACATCTCTTGAAAAGAAAATTAAAAAACAATTATTAAACCAACCCAACAACCAGCGTAATTTCTGTCATACTTACCCTGAAACTGTTATATATCAACATATTACGCCCCCACCACTACTACTACCCCCTCAATGCAGCGATAATTTACCCCCTTAAAATTAATTGTGTACCGTTTCGCATATTAAATTACCCCTCTCCGTTTTATATTACTTGACATTCACTGATCAAGGCAAACTTTTTATATAAAACTATTTCTAAATATTAGAAATATTTGTGTAGTGGAAAGTCCCGTTAGTTTTGATTAGTAGAAAAAATCGTATATACAAATTTTGTAGTATTTTTGTTAGTTGAAAGTAGTAGAGTAATGAAAAAGGTCTTGTTAAAAAACTACCAGTCAAAGTACGTACACTGGTCAAAAAAATATGTATTAAAAAAATGAAACTCTTTGAATTGGTAAATACGGAGCATGACCGATATTTTTGTCCATAGTTGTGGGAGGACGTGACATATCTACCGTGTCATATTTGTGACATGGCATGTGACCCTACCTGCCGTGCCGTATACTGAAAATAAATCTCTCTATATTCTCTTCTTCAACTAATAATTATGAATTTACAAAAAAAAAGTTTTTATTATTGTTAAGTAATATATAAATCGCTTACCTCGTGTTCCGTTATAAAAAATTGTTTTTCGTTTGTTTGTAATTGTCTTGTCTTAAAAAGAATGCATGAGAAAATGAGTCCGAAAATTGTGCGTCATGGCATGTTCTGAATTTTTAGCCCGCTTTTCGCTTTCTCCTCTACTTCTTCTTTACATAAATTCGCTAATAATTTATATAAATACAGTTAATTTATGATGATTATTAAAGTGGAATGGGAACTAATTCATTTTATGTGTGAATAAATTCCTATAGAGAAATTAGACACGACATTCTCACGCTCCCGATCCTCAAGCATGTCTAGTCTTGATAATATTACGTCGGAAGCGATTCAGTGCCTCAGCTTTGTCGACTCTTTCGCAAAGAAAGGAGGTATTTTTAACGTGGAATTTTTGAATTCTTTAATTGAAATTTTTAAATATGTTTTGTATTATGTAGATTTCTCAATCTGGCCTACTCTCTGGGTTGGGACCAGTTTGGGTTCAATTATCGTAATTTCCATCATCATTCCAGTCGGAGGGAAGGAAGCCAGAAAAAGTGAACCCGTCAGCGTTGCTCCTTCTGGAACCATTTTTAGAATTAAAGGTTTAATAATAACTTTTCATAGTTTTGTATGGATTTTAATATTTTTTCCCAAAAAAACAGGTCCAATCCTGATGATGTCCTTTTTGGACTGCAATGGTCTCGTGGTGTCTGGAGGCTATGAATCTTGGAGGGATGAGAGTAAAGACCCGAGATCCAGTGAGTCCAATTTCCCCAGCGTCGTATTTATAGAAAACGTGTTAACTTTTATTAACTCAATCACTAATAAGAGAAATAAAGTTGCTAACACTCAACTTCTTATATAGGAACACCCACGAAGGGCTTATCCAGTGACTCGGATAAAGGATCATGCGATCGACAGTTTGGCGTTTTCATGTCCGAAAAACAAGCCCGTGTCGTGTCTCTCCCGTCGCAAACGTGTCTCTACAAGCAACAAATTTGTGAAGCTTCTTTCGTCATCAAGGCAGAAATCACGACGGTGAAAGGTAACTTTCTCCCACTCTTTTTGCTAAACTTTTGTGTGAAATTCAATTTATTTGTGCAGATTCCTCATGTTTGGTTTGTTACGCGTCGGATGGGCGGCTCAAAATTTACTCTTTGCCATCTCTACGACCATTGTTGGACACTGAATTCGTTCCTTTGAGTGATCTCAGGTAGGTCAGAGGACGATCTTGGTCATGAGGATTATATTTAAAAAATTCTAAAAATTTAAAATAAGCACAAAGTTTCAGATTTTAAAAAATTAGTTAGCGTTGCGGGTGGGATTCGAATGAATCTGTGTAAAAAAAAAAGCTAAATCCTAGTTCCCCTCAGCACTATGTCCTCTTTTAATTCAATTTTTAACAAATAAAAAATGTAAATATTCCCTTCACACATTTCCCTGTTGCCGAGTAATTTGCTATTTCCTCTCCCCACAAAGAAAATTGATACCCCAAAACACCAAAAAAATTTAGATAAAAAACCCCCTCCCAAACAATCGACACTGAATTTTTAACTCTTGTTGCTCTCCTATCTCTCTCTCTCTGTCTCTCTTTCTCACTTTGGCTGTTTGACCTTTTGACCTTGTTGTTGACCTTCTCGCCTTCTACATCATGTTGCTTTTGTTTGTTTGTTGTCTCTGCCGCTGCCTCCACACCACTACCTCCCAAGCAGTTTTCAAACCAGGAAATCGGGCATAGTCGACCCCATGCTCGCCATTTGGGGTCAACAAGTTATTGTCAATGAGGACACGAATTCGTAAGTGTGTTATACTGCATGACATGACTCTCTCTCTGCTTTCTCACTCCTCTAATTTACCATAAAAATCCACTACACACCAGAAACTAAATCTCTCTCTCTGCTACATTTCACTATATAAAAAAATCCACTTTTTTCGTTTTCTGTTTTGTTTTCTCACTCCTGTGCACTAATACCACACAGCGAGGCCTACTTTTCTCTAGTGATATCTGATGAAGTGATAAGTTTTGCTATATACTTTCTGATCATGTCGCGGTGTATGTGGTGGACGCGGAGGGGAAGCGGGGGCTCATTGCTTTTTGTCGTTGCAGAATCGCCAAAACCTTTTGTCTCAGTTCCTACGGACATGGAATGTACCTCAGCTCGGTGAGAGAGTTTTATAGGTTTTTTTGATTTTTTGGGATTAATTGCGAATGTTTTTTTCAACAGCCGAGTGAGATTCAAAAGTTTACGATCGCAACGGAATTTATGTGAGTTGAATAATTTCTTAAATTGTATTTAACTGGTAATTTTTAATTAACGATTTCTAATGCAGTTCCAATTTGGACGAATTGCTTGGCCTACTTTGGAAAGAGATTGAAATGCCGGAGAAACCGAAAGAAAGTTTCTTTGGAAGTCTATTCGGCGTTGGAGTACGAAATGTGGACCGCGAAGAACTCTGTAATTTATTTATCTTAATAACTTTCCATTTATTTCCTCTAAAAATTATCCTTTTTTTAAATCTCAATAGTTGGCGAGGCGGCCGGGAAGACATCGCGCTCCGTGGCGAAACTAATCCCCGGTCCTGGCACAGGCCTTACTCCAAATCAAGAACATTTACAAATGAGAGCAGGGACGATTGCGGGCGATATTTCAAAAACTAGGATGCTAATGGTCGAAAGAGGACAAAAATTAGGAGATTTAGGAGATAAAACTGAAAAAATGATGAATGGTACATGATAATTATTAAACTAATAATCAAAGTTATTAAATTCTAATCATCATTTACTTTCTCTTCCAGAATCTGAGAACTTCTCCAGCGCAGCCCATCAACTAATGCTCAAGTACAAGGATAAGAAATGGTATCAACTATGAGCGACTAATTTTCTGCACCAGGAATTTTACACATCTCACTTACTACATAAAAGTTATTACGAAACGGTGCTACATACTTCAGCTACAATAGAGAGAGGACTTGGTCAGTAAGGATTTTTTAAAAAAGAGTCGACTCTCATCATCAGTGGCTGGATCACGTAAAATCTTACATCTGGGATTAATGCAAAATAATTACAATTCAGGAAAATGTTGAATTACTAAAATTATTGTATAGACACCTTGACGGTGGTGGTGCTAAAAATGCATACGCAAAACGCAAGCAGTACTGTACTTACAATTTTTTGACACAAAATACCTCTGCCGGAATATTACTTGAAAATTTTGAGTGCAAAATAAGTCACGAGGCACATAAATACTTGTATACTTGTACTTTTTAGAGGGCGGAATATGATGTCCGCGTTTAATAGCCTTTTTGATATTCGGAAAATGTTCTAAAAAATGTTCGTAGTTTGTCTCTCTCTAGTCTAAAAAATACCAAATTTTTGGGGTGCTACTAATTAGCTAAAGGCGACCATACATATTACGTAGCAAAGAAAACATAGTGAAGAAATTTGTAGTCGCAGACCATCAGGAAATCAAGTTGACTTAGATTTTATCAAGACTTTAAGAAAAATGAGTAGCACTAATTTAGCAAATCAAAAATTAGCGTGCTATAGAAAGGAAACTTATTGAGAGACAATTCGCACAATTTTAATGAGAAAAATTTAAAACTGCGAGTTAACGTCATTTCAATAGTTTTAACACAATTTAAAAAATTTGCGCTTTATTAAAAGAAATTTAGTTACCTTTTTTGTCTCTTAAATAAATTATAGAATAATTATTGAGCACACTTTGAAAAAGGCAAAACGTGACAAATAACAAGACAAAATAATTAAGAATTTATTAAACAAAAACTCTTCTGTAGTTTCATGTTTAGTGGTGAAAAAATGCAAATTATCAAAAAAAATATTCTTCATAATAATTTCAAAATGACCATAAAATTTAAACACATTTTTTACTGTTCGAAAAAAATATTGATTAGTGCTTCCAAAAAACAAACCCTTGCTAATTTCGTCAAAATAGAAAAGCAGTTCAACTGCAAAAACTTGAAAACATTTTGTGATTTATTATATTATGAAAAAATACATTCCAGCTTTTTAACTAATTACAATTAATTATCAATTCTGGTGCGTATACTCGTGATCATTTAATGATAATCATATGACAAATATTGATAAGAAATGGGATACACGCACTTGTAATACTCTCTCTGCGTAAATCTGCACACACAAATAAGCTAAAAAAATTAAGAAGGAAAAAGTCAAGAAATTAATGGTTAACGGGACATGAATTAAATTTAAAAAATCTACTATTATACGATTACAATTATTATTTAATGTGTCTCTGTCTTAAAAAATGGTTAAAAACTGAATTTTATTTACAAAATCGTTATTATAGAAATGATGATAAATACCTTTTAATGTACTCAAAAATATTTGACTATAATGTTATTTAACATTATAGGTTTAATTAATTGCTACATAGTGAAAAATATATATGATGGGAAAACAATAGCAGGAATACAATAAATTAAATAAAGACATTCACTCGGTGTGGAATTTGAAATTAAATAATAATTTTCAATGTCTTTAACAATCTTTTCATGAAAATAGGGTGAGAGGGTGACGCTGCTCTGGTGTACCGTTTAAGAGCATAGAGGGCACGGGCGTTATTTTCTCATTATGATGACTAATTCTTTCCACTTTCTCCAGATTACTTGCGTTATTGATGGTTTCGCTCTGTGTGTAAAGGATTTCCATTTGATCACCAAATGCAAAAATTCCTTACATCTTTTTTTTCATTAAGAAAAATTCCAATTCTTTCAAAAAAATTACAGAGAAATTCTCACTTTCTTTTCCTATCACTACTTTCTTTTTAAAAAAACCTAAAAGGAACTTCTTCCCCCCAATTCTCGTTAAATTAAACCCTCATAAAATTAATTATTCAAATATAAAATCTGTTCTTTCCTAAAGAGAGAGAGAGACCCGGAGAGAAAGGGAGATTGAAATAGACGCCCGTTTTCGACAATAACCATTCTCCTTGATTTTATTATCATCAGAGCCAAACGCTCTCTCTCTCTCTTCATTTGCCTCCTGAGCAGACTAATATATTTCATTGTCTCTTGATTCACTGCCACCAAAACCAAACCCACCAAAGTAAATATACCAGCGAGAGAGAAAGTAAAAGCTACCTCATCAACCTTTCACTCTGATAATGAAGCCAAGTCTCTCCTCCCAACTAAACAGCGAGCCAATTTCTCTCATACCTAAAACGAGACAGAGTGGAAAAAAGGATTCGATTTTTACGGGTATTTTACTTAAAAAGGAGCCAGCCTTAAAAGATCAGTTCGAGATCATTATGTTCATGTCGCTTCATTTATTTTCTGGCTGTGCGGTATTTTAGTAAATGTTTTGTATCGTCGTCGTCGATTCCTCGTGGTGGTGGTGGTGGGAGAGACCCTCATTTTCCAGTAAAAGACAGCCACATGCCATACCACTAAACCCAATTGTATCAAATCAACTGGCATCAGCAATTGAGCAGCAGCAAAGGAAAAGCCAGCGATGAGATGAGATGATGAGTAAAGCGGTGGTGGTGACGAAAAGGGTGAAAGAATGGGATGAACGACGAGGGATATGCTTCTCTCTTTTGTTGTCTACACAGGATGACAAAATAGTCGAGAGAGAATGGTGGAAGGGGAGAAATTTTAGAATCTACACTGCTGCACAGGAATTATTCAATTTTAAAACTCAAGTGAATTTCAACAGAGAGAGAGGAATTGAACGAAAAGCGTCGTCGTCATCGGTTCTGGATGTACATGAATTTCTCCCTCTGCGAGATAATCCTATCTGCCCGGGCTCCACACGTTTGCCTTGTGGTTAAGCCATCCCATTTTACACGAGATGAAGTGAAAATGTAATTTTTAAAGACTTTTTTTCTGTAAAAGAATCGTCGTAATTTTTTCGTAAAGAAAATAGAGAATTTTACTTTCTCTTTTAGAGACACACACAAGTAACTACAAATCATGAAAAGTTTCACATTCCGGATGGATGGAAACGTACCCCTTCATTAGAGATCTTCTTTCTCTCTGACTCCACTCTGACCGCGCCTCCTTAATGAATATTCAGCAGTTACTTTTTTCCCACTAAAGTAAAAGTCTCTCTCTCTCTCTCGAAAACTTTCCAAAGTCGGCGACGACGGGTTGACTTGGAAAAAAAGAAAATGAGAAAGTACGGAAGAGAGAAAAAAGCATAGTTTTCAAGACTTTCTTTAGAGGGTTATGAAACACGCTGTCTGATTCTGACGTTGACTACCTTTCTCTCTTAAATATCTTGACTTTCTTTTTTTTCAAGGGGGATTTTTCCTCTCTCTAGTCTTTCTTATAATGAAGATGAGTCCTATGCTGACTAAGATAATGTGGTGTAATGAAGAGCAGAGTATAACCCTTTCACTCCTCTCTCTTGAACTCGTGCTTTTTCACAGGGATAGTATTTCCAGAAAGGAAAGGATGTACCGGGGGGATCAACCTTTAGCCAACACAACACACAATTTTCTCGTCCGGAAATGTCTTGTGCAACTAACTAAAAAGACCGTGGCTCATTTTCTACGCTCAACCGACCCCACAGTCTCTCTCTCGCTGCTACTACGAGGATAATATGTCGAGGGAGAGGGATATGTTGATTTTGTGTTGTATGGCCAGATTTCCCATCCTTTATGCGAATCCAGTTTTAGACAATTCTTTATATTATGGTAGTTAACATTTCCGCTCCAACGAGTCCTCGCTACACACAAAACTTGATCTCATTATACACGCTCTGGAGTATCACCACTGCTGCTGTTGTAGAAAAATTCTAGGAAATTTACACCCACCGAAAAAAAAAACCCCACGCTATAAACTATTAATGAAATTATCACTTTACCCTGTCATCTCATAAAATGAGTTATTACACGCTGACCACGAAAAGATCATGATGATTGGACCTCTTTAAAGGTCCTCTGACTATTATTGAGCGTGTGTGTGTGGGGAATTGCGGCGTCGAATATTTCTTCTCGTCGTTGTCCTGGCAACAAAATCAGAGAGAGATCATTACCTCTCCCCTCTCTCTCATAATAAACATAACAATCTCTCACCGTGAAACTTTCCTCGCTTATAAAATCAGAGAGATAACCTACGTCGTCGAGAGGCCATCATCATTATGACTTTGTCCATGAGACGTGTGTGTGTGTGTTTCATAACTGTACAGAGAGATCAGAGGAGGAGGCGGAGGGGGGAGTCGTGGTGAAAACAAAAAAAGGAGCCAAAAACTTGAGAATGACTGTACATTTGGTGAACGATCAAAAAATGCAAATGTCCACCTTCCGTCATAGCATCCGCTTGCCATTTTTTACGCCACATTACTACCAGAGTTGTCCTCTGTCTCTACCACTCGACAAAATCATCAGTCACCAAATGCCCCTCCACCAGCGGTATCACCACCGATATCATATTCTCTCGTATGATGACAACCAGAGAGAGAGAGATGATAAACAAGAAGGGATATTTAGTAAATTCACCAAGTGAACGATTTCCACTGAAGAGTAAAGAGAGACCGAGGGTGGGGATGTGTGTGTGTATTTTTTGGTATATTTCCTGACTCTCTACTACCGTGTCGAAACAATGGACTCTGTTCTCTGGTAGCGGAGAAGAGAGAGAAAAAAAGAGACTATTAGAACAAGAGAGCACTTTGAATTATTGTCTTTCTATGCAGAAATGAGAGTCCCTTTTTATTTCCGACGCCGCACACTCGATCTCAGAGAGAGTAATGATGGTGGTGGTTGTGTGGGGATGACCATGAGAATCCCCTCCGACTCGTGTGTTATGATCTCTTAAATGCAGCAGCAGAAGCAGCAGAGGTACTTGGTCCCAGCCAGGAGAGATGAAGATGAAAGATGATGTTACCTCTGGTGAGAAAATCTCTCTTTCTCTCTTTTAAAAAAAAGTGAGAGAAAGAAAGTGAAAAAAGTCAGTTTAAATGGTCAGATCTGGTGGATGATAAAGTGCGACCAGTTCAGAAAGTTTAGTTTACTTTTAGAGGAGTGAAAGTGGAAAAAGGTGGACAACCCCTTCTTCTTTTTTTCATCCCCTTTAAACTTTTCTCTCTTTATTTTTTTAAAGCGAAACAAAAAAAAACAGTTTGAATTTGTCTTTTGTATTTTACAAAACGAAAAAAAAACTTTTAATAAAAACTTTCTCCGCTTTCTCTTTTCTCGCAATTTAAACTTTTTCTTTCTTCTTCTTCGCTCCCTTAATGATTGGGCAGTCTGTTGGGTGGGGACTAATAGAATACAATATTTCAATAGCCTCCCTGCTCTACACGGAGATAAAAAAGTCAGTGTCTTATGAAATATGTGTATCGGAAGGAGAGAGAGAAAGACTGGTCAATTCCGTTGGGCAGTCTCTCTCCAATCTACTCGCTGACTACATTATTATATATTATTTGCCAATTGATGTGGAAGTTCATGCTACATTTACTCTGCTGCCTCCTCCTCCCTCTGACCAAACAGAGACAGTGGCAACATTCGATAAAATATATCGTCTTTTCTTGACCAATGTAGTCTTTTGCTGGGTGTTTATATTAAGGAAAAAAGAAGTCCGTCTCACCACCACCAAAAAATATCGCACAAAATTGCTGCTGCCTCTTATTCCGACGATAGAGCTCTTCAATCATCATCAAAAATGACCACCACTTCTTCAACTACTTGGTCGACTGTGTGTGTGCTCATGTTTCATGTATGAGTCTCTTTCTCATGGTAATTTACAAAACCCTTTTTCTTTCCTGCTTGCTCTCGATTTTCAATCATTTTTTTTCGAGAAGAAGAGAGATGTTGCAATATGTGAACTAATGGTTTGACCGTCTATATTTCTCATCGTCGGTGATGGTCCTAGTGGTAAAATTTCTGTATCAAATTCCCTCTCCGCTTCTTCTTCTTGTCGGTTATATAAATTCATATCTCTGATAAAGAGAGAAATCCCATTAAATAAACCACGTGATAGGTTATGGATGACCACCACTCGCCACTAAGTGAGATAAGCCCCACACGACCATCATTACCAATGCATTGATTTCGTAGCGAGCGAGAGGAGGAATTTTTCCTCTTTGATATTTCTCTCCATCATCACACCAAAGAGGAATTTTTAGTTTTAAGAGCTTATATATGATCAAATTGTGTAACGTATCGCGTCTCAAAGCTTTCGGACTTTGAGATTAGTCTTTTAGCCCCAAAAAACACATCGCCACCAAAAAATCTTCATCCCCACGTTGTCTCAAAATGTTGATCGGATCTCTCTCTCTGATCCAGATTTTCCCTTAAAGGATTCAGCATGTTGTGCAAGCGGACGAGGACACACACACGCTTTTCAAATAATATTGGTGGCATGTTGTATTAGAATTTAGAATTTAGATTTTGAAATCCCATCCTCTCTCTCTCGGCTACAGATTGGTTTCCTCGCTCTCTTGTCTTAGCCAAGGTTATTATTCCAAAGCTGTTTTTCAAAAACTAAAGCCCACCACACACATCCACCCTGAAAGCCCTGGTG